AGAAGATGAATGTGTACAAATCTGAAGGCAAACAGCCGAGATTGTCAGCACCGCCGGTGCGCGATCGGGGCCGAGTGAATGATGATGTCGCTTGAAGCTCGCTGACAGATGACTTAGTGGGCTCGACGAGGCTTCTTCTCCCTGCCTCTCCAGGGACGCAGCCTCCGTCCGGAGCCATTTTTCAGCCAATTTATTTCTTGATGTGGCCTAACCCGGGGCGTCTCCCGCTGGGAGGGCTTTATGTGGTGATTAATGATGGGCATTTAGCTCAGGTACCTGGGGGAAAACCGGAGCCCATCTGTACGCGAACTGACAGGTACGACGCTGCGCTCCAGGATGGGCCGGGACCGCGGCCCGCTGTGCGCGGAGACTGTCATCGTGACACCGCCAACCACGCCACGTCTCCTTTAGACTTTTTTTTTTTTTTTAATGATCTTTCTCCTCTTTGTTTTCGCAGCTTCCAAGATTTCTCGTCCAAAAAGCATTAAAGCGACGGAAGCCGCGCGATTCAGACATCCATTATACGCTTGAACGGCTTGTCTTCTTCGCTCCATCACGGAGCGTCTCCCGGCAGGGCAGGCCCAGATGCCGGGACCCTAATGAGATTAGGCCGCGGACAGGTTGGTGGCCAGTTACCTGTCACAACCGCTCTGTCCGCGCGTGGAGAGATTTATGAGCGCGCGCGTTTGCGCGGTGGAGGCATCCATCCCTTTTTTTTTTTTTTTTTTTTTTTTTTTTTTTTTTTTTTGCGAGAGCTCTCTGGGTGCGCGCGCGTCGGGTGCGAGTCCGCTGCCATGTTGATGGTGATTAATGAGCGAGGTAATCCATAGTCTCGTTCTGTCAGCGATAGACACATCAGCGGAGCCCCAGAGCCCGATGGGCGGGCCGACCCGCATGCAGGTACCGCAAAGCAAAGCAGGCGGGGGAAAGTCGCCGCTGACAGATTCTTGATTGTTTTCCAACTTGTTATTGTCTCAGAGGCTTTCGGACATTATCCCTTTAAAATCAATCTCACCGGAGCAAATGTTCACACTGAGGCTAATTTTGTTAGGGTTATTTAGTTTACTGTGATTCCTTTTCTTTCTTTGGATCATCCACGGTTCTGTTTTGCTTTGGTTCAGTTGCCACTGAGTGATTCTCGCTGTTTACTTCCTCTAGATTTATTTACTGTTCTCTCTCCCCTCACACCTGCATTCAGTTAGCTCCTCAGCTAAGTTTTGTTCAGTATTCATCTTCTCAGTAGTTCAGCACCTCATCATCAGTCACTCCTTGCTGCTCACTCCTGTTAGTTACTCATTTCGCCACATGTTCTCCTTTCCTTTAGGTCTTTGGTTTTTGTTCCGACTTCCTGTGCTCCCGTGGATTTTTGTACGTTTTTGTTCTTATGTTTTCTTTAAATCTTCTCCATCGACTCAACGCCTCTGTCAATCACCAGATTGACAGAGGCGTTGCTAGATTTTGGTCCATCTAGCTGCTGTTCAAAATAGGAACTTTTCACCCTTCTTTGTTTTTGCAGCTTCCAATTATGGCAATTATAAGACATATTCAAAAATTACATAGAAATCTTTAATCTTCATTCTATATGAAGGCCATGAAGAAACACCACTGCTTTCAGAATTAAGGCAAATGGGTCGAGTTCTCACTGAAAACTTGTAGAGTTTGCTTTGGAAAGTAAAATTAATTTAGTTACAATAAATTATAATACACTTTTTTTTTATCAGAAATTTTAATTGAATGACATCTTTTCTTACCCACTTTCGTTGAACCAAAGCATTAGAAGCCAGCATGAGACAAAGATACAAGAAGTTTGAAAGTAGAGTCAAATTAAACTGATAAACTTGCCACATTTTACTTAAATTAAATAGTTTATTTTACGGTATGTTTAACATTGAACAAACTGCAGACAATAACAAACTGAAAGGAAAAATGGAAAGGCTGCCTTTGGTCAGAGATCACGTTATTTAATAAATCATTCTAAATGAAACAAAATATAATTTATCCTCAAAGATATTTTGAATATTAAAGAATTACAATTGGCAATCTTAAATATAAAAGAAGAAGCACAGATCGGGTTAAGGACAGGTTGCGATCCAGTTGCACAGACCCGTCCAGCCAAGAGGAGCTGGACGGGTCTGTGCTGTCCGTGGCTGTCCAGTCCGATGATTAATGACCGAAGGGATCCGCTGGTCCACCGCAAACCTCTGCCCCAGTGACACCGGTCCATCTTGCGCCGTATTCTCCAGCACCTGCGGGAGGCGCCGAGCCTTCAGGTGTCAGCTGCAACCCTTCAAACACAATGAGGACGATGGCGTCTTAAACGGACACAAATCAAAACCTTTAGAAGACGGATTTAAATCGATTCTTAGTCGTGTGTCTCCAGTACTGGACCTAATTCTCCTAGAACGTAGGAGAAATGTTCCTACATTCTAGAAAATGTCTTTAAGGGCTTTTGTGTTTGTGTTACACCCAGTGCTTTAAAATAGAACTATAAAGATTGAAATTATTTTGGTAAGTCTGAAAAAATGCTCTTTATTTAAACAGTCGTGTATCAAACAGGTTTTTAACGGTGAGGATATTTGATGTGGGCGATATGGGCCACTGCCAGAGCAGGTTCCTTAATTACTAGCAAATTCTGTGTTATGTTCATAAAACGAGGATTACTAATGAAGATAAAGCTGGTATTTGATCTGCTCCTTTCTCTTTCACTCTAAAATAAAGAGGAATTTTGCTTTCTTCTTTAATGATGGATTCTTTTACATCTTTCACTTGGCCCGTAAAGTGTTATTTTGTTCAATAAGCAGCTAAAAGCTTGATTATTATTCCGACCAAAGCTTCTTCAAATTCTGATCAGTAGGAGTCAGAGATCTTTGTGAATCACAAACGTAATGACTTTATACTCATCTTGAAAGCATAAAGACTTTGGAGTTGACTTTTGAAACACCGGCCTCCGACCTGACCACAACTGGAAACAAAATAAGCAAATACAAGATAGTGCTATGAAATTACGATTTGCAAATGGTCAGTACTGGTTTTCCATGAAAACCCAAATCGGCATTACTCACTGACACTTTGGACATTGTGTCAATAACAAATATCTGCTTGATAACTGAGATTTTAAAAACGATTTAAAACAAAAAAGCAAAGGAAAACAATAAAACAAACACAAATGTAGGCACACAGTAAGCCATATTTAAATCGCCACAGAGGAGGGATTTGCTTCGGTGAACGTTTTTAAATGTTTGACAATAATCTCTGCAGACGGTCCAGCTTTGATGGAGTCTCCCAGTCCAGCGTCTCGGCACGTCGTTTCTCAGAAACGCGCACTTTTAAAAGGACGGCAGGCCATTACGCCCTTTAAAAGGAGAGGCATGGTGAGCAGCCAGGTTATGCTCTTCTATTCTCCGTATTCTTTCTTCAGCGGAGCGGCCGGTGTCAGTAGGAGACAGCAGAACAATGGAGGTGAGCTCTCTGATCTCAGGGCTCCCATTGTGGCTCGTCATATTATTAATGTTCGTCTCTGGGAAAAGTCACGGCCTCTGCCTCGCAGCTCCTGCGTCGCTCTGTCATCTCCGCTCCGCTGGACTTCCTATCTTCTCTCTGTTGTCCTTCATCCACATGTGGCTCTGCATCCTCTGTGTCGGACCGCGCAATAAATCTCCAAGAATTAAACAGCACTAAGGGAAATTTGTGACAATCTCGCAAATCATCTTGAAATGTTTGGGCTTTTGTAGACCGAAGTGAGTCTTTATTGAGCTCAATAACTGTGGGGAAGTAATATTAACTTAAAAAGAACAATCCTGAAAAACTATTTTTCTGCTCTTTCACAGTTCTGCTAACGGGGGGAACATTTTATGAGTATGTCATCTGAATTCCTTTTGAAATACAGCAGGAGGAGCTGCTGTTCATTTATCAGTGCGACCAGGGACTGCCCATGCCTTGCTGTGCTGTGCTCCAGGTCAGGCGTCCTTCACTGAGGACTCAAAGTAATTATTGACCTTATGGGATCGTCCCAAAGCCCACAGGTCAATCACTGCCAAGAGTCAATCATCAAAGGTCATGACATGGCAACGCCATCGTGGAGAAATAGACTCAGGTTGAAAAACACAAAGTGAACCAACAACTTACACAAGCTCATGAACGGCCGCGGCTGAAAATATGAACTGATGACTCTGTGCACAGAAATGAGTGTGATTGTTTTTAAAATGCAAGTTTAAACTAAAATATTTTGCAGTGTGGGGAGAGAATGTTTTAATTTTTTTGTGTCATTTTCATGTATTGAGCTTTACAAATAAAGTTCAGGTTAGTCTTTGAAAAATAAAAATATAAAAAAGTACAAGTTTAGCAGATATGATAGAGATCCCTGCCCTGATAACACATCCATCCCTCTCTGGCCTCCCTACATTGGTTTACAGGTGTGTGTGTGTGTGTGGGGGTGTGTGTGCGTGTGTGTGTGTGTGTGTGTGTGTGTGTGTGTGTGTGTGTGTGTGTGTGTGTTTGTGTGTGCATGGTTGTTTGTGATTTGTGTGTCTCTGTGGTGGACTGGCAACCTGACCCATCAAGCTTCATCATGAAACGCTACAAGAACAAGCAGCACAATCAATGCATAAAAATACTATGTCCAATAATTCAATTGGTTATTTAGGGACAGCCTAATAAAAATATAAATTAATCTTAGAATATTACATCAGAGCAATGAAAAAAGGAAAAAAGAAATGAAATATAAAAAGCCAAAAAAGTGATCTGACAAATTAAATGTTGAAGAAAAATATTCCTGCTCATGTTGCGGTCATCCAACAAAGTTAAGTAATTTAAATCAGAACTAGTGAAACAGAGAAAATACTGTTCTTTACGTAATTTAAGTTGTTGGTAAATAAAGCAATACATTTATTGGTTGAGAAAACATTTGACAGATTCATTGAGAAACAATACAGGTCACCTCATTTTTTAAAAATAAAAAAAAAGGTTTATTGGCTCTAGTGGCCTTTACTTGATAATTAAATGACAGGAAAGTGGGTAACAAGAGAAGGGGAAGACCTGCGCTGCAGCAAAGGTCACCAGGCCGGGAATCGAACCTGCGACGGCCGTGTCGAGAACCCCTGGGCCACCACAGGACATCCCACAGAGTGGCTTTTCGCTTAGGTGTAATAGTAAGATTTTTGTGATGCTGCAGCTTTCAGATGGAAGACCATCAAACATGACAGAAATCCTGCTGTGGTTCCTGCAGCCTCTTGAGTGTGACGCAACTTGGGTAAAAGTTTATCTTTTTTTTTTTTTTTTTTTCCAATTATGGGAAGAGAAGACTGTGAATGTTCTCCACATAAAACTCCCTACCTCAAACTGAAGGTAATTTATGCTGCCCGGGCATTTGTTGCCCACGGAGACTTTGTGACGCGGTCAACAACAACTCTTCCAGAGATGTTTGGGTTTCGTGGGGAATAAAGCGCCCGGTTCCTCCGGTCCAGCTCTATATCACATTCGGCCAGCTTGTTGGTGCCGCTGCGACGGTGAATGGGACGCCAGAGGCCCAGCCACTGGCGGGTGGTCTGACACCAAAAGGTTAAATATGGTTCAGTCGTGCACTCTCTCAAAAGATGTTGCTGTTGGACAAAATAAGTTATGTGGGTTGTAGGTCTTCTCGCAGTCGGGAAATTGACAATACTGCCGCAGCGAGGCAGAGGGCTGTCCTGGAGCTGAACTTCATGGTTGACCATCCTGTGGGGACAAAAAAAAAAAAAAGAGAGAGAGAGAATCCCAAGATCACTTTCATGGGGTGGATTTATTGACGGCTCATCAAAGCCCTGACTAGACGGGAGGTGTAAAATTTTCCAAGCCTCTAAAATTGTTATATGGTTAAATTCAATGAACTCCTGGCAGCTCAAACTATGACAACATATTTGAACTCTATGACATCATGCAATTAAACAAAACAAATAGCTAAAATCCCAACAAAGTACAAGGATTTGGTGCCTCAACGTACATTTACTGCGACTGCGTTACTTGTATAGTCGTAATTATTTTATCATCAAAGCATCATTAACCTGCCACCAACAAAAAAAAAAGCATTTGTTTCTTAATATGTTTTTTTCTTTTTCTTTACCCCTTGTGGATGTAAAGTCTTCATCTGAACAATTATTATAAACTTGTCAATTCTTCACTTGTGATAAAGTTCAATTTTTTCAATGCCCAGTTTAAAATCAGTGGTACCTCTCATTGGTCCTTGAGGAACGCCCAGCATTTCTATGCCTGTTCGGTATGTTATGTACTACAATGGTTTTTTAAACGACCCAATTATTTAATTTGGATGTTTCCAAAGAAAGAAAACCTTGAGGACCAGATAGGGTTTAAATTTCATCCATAGTTACTAAACTGAATCGTCCACAAAGACATTTACATATTAAAATTAAATAAATTTTGATCTTGACCTTGACAGAATTATGTTCAAAGATTAAGTAAACAAAAACCAGATAAAACTCAAAGTTTGCAGCATCGACATACAGTATGTTGCACACTTGGTATGATGGAAATGTTTGGTGTTTCTGAAGTGAGGTTTTGTCAAAGAGTTATAAGCTGTTAATAATATTCCAGGAATGTGTCCCCAGTCAGTGAAAATCCAGATTAGTTGGTCGATGAGACTTGTGCAAGAGGGCCCAAAACCAACACAAACCACCTTAAAATGATACAAGTCTTAGGGTGCTGTGGTGGCATAGAGGTGGCAGTCGCAGGTTCAATTCCCAGCCTGGTGACCCAGGAATTGAACCAGGTCAATTTTCTGTGGTGATCATCACCACAGAAAAGTAATGATCACTAAAATAAAGTTAAATTGCTGAATGGTTGTACTTTTCTACTTCCCAAGTAAATTATGACTGGCTTCAGCGTAAATAATCACCCAACGCAAACATGATGATGATTAAAACGGACATAAAACACGGTTCCTTTGAACCACTCTGACATTTATCTTGACCCCTGTTGGACTAGCTGTTGGCTTCAGTCTCTGGGAACAACGACTCTGGATTCATAGCAAAAGAAACATTGAATATACCTCAGACATCCAAACTGAGTAAAGCCCCACCTCTATGTTACAGACTGTTACAAGCCCAGTGGAATCTGTTAACTTTGCAAATAAACAGCTTGATTTAGTCTTTGTGTTGTATTTGTGGGAAACAGAACATAACGTCTTTGACAAATAACTGATGACTCGGGAGGGATTGTACATTCTTTAAATACTACTCTAGTCTACACACGGTAAAATAATCCGAAAATAAAGGTGCAATTAAAAGGTTGGACTTGCAGAGAAGAGGTGTGTGTGTGTGTGTGTGTGTGTGTGTGTGTGTGTGTGTGTATGTGTGTGTGTGTGTGTGTGTGTGTGTGTGTGTGTGTGTGTGTGTGTGTGTGTGTGTGTGTTTGTGCAGAATGGTTCACAGGATGGGAAGGATCTTCAAAGTCTGGGGAAGGGGTCTCTTGCCCCCTACTGCAGCCTTGTTCACATGAGAATCAATCTGGTCCCAGTGTTTGATGTGAACTGCAAATAAAAGAAACGCAACAAAGAGGGACAGCGGGAAGATTTGGAAAGATGGGGAACAAACAGACAGAAAGATTAATGGGACACGCAAATAAAATTTGGAAGGTTATGAGGAGTGCCAGAGGTCAAATTTTACTACTTGGTTAGAGTTTAAGAAAAAAAAGAGAGACTGGGGTGATAATATTGGTGAGAATCCAAACAGGGACGATCAAACCAGCTGATTGACAGAAACATGTAGGCAGACTGAAGAAGTGTCAGTCTGACACAACCCATCAGTCAGAGAGACATCAGAGGTTCAAAGCCAGCATGGTGGACCCTGATGCAGCGTCTCCTCACGCAGTGTCCCCCGTGACGCCAGGAACTCAGATTATCATCACAATACAAACTGCCTTATCATCACCATCACCATTATCATGAAAAATGAAAATCAGATGGAGCTTGCCGCAAAGCTTTCAGAAAAAGGACTTGTCCGTTTAAATCGCTATCTGTCTTGCCAGTGACGGCTTTCGCCCTAGCTCGTCTTTCCCCCTCATGGACTTGTGTAGGAATGTTGTTTTATTTGTTCTCACCTGAATAAGACACCATCGGACTACATGGGGACAATGAGAGTCGAAGAGAGATGATTTTTTTTTTTTTAATCTTTTCTTGTTTTTATCTCATCTAAAACGGGCTCCAGCAATGTTGTTCTTTCTGCTAATTAAGATGTTAGAGAGAGGGGCTGGTCTGACAGGGCCCTGCTTGGCAGGGAGGCAAAGAGTCAATGGTCTGGAGCTGAACAGGAGACATTTATGGGCTGCCTTGAGCCTTTGTCTCACCCCCCCCACACCGCCACCGCCACGGATCTTTTCAGGCCGGCTGCCTCTGTCTCGGTGACCTGTACAATGGGAAGAATGACACACCGAGATCTCAGAGTTGACCACAAAGGGCAGTCCCGCCGAACGAAGATTTCACGGCACTGAGGCGAATCCGGACGCTGCCAAGATTCCACGGATGGTTATCACTTCTTCTCGGCTACTCCGTCCCTCTGCGAACGTTTCCCTACATGAAGACGGAACAATGTAGTTATGCACTCACTGGCCGTTTTAGTATGTGCACTAAGACAATTGTTTGTTGACACAGATCAGTTAGTCACATGGCAATGACTGACTGACTGCATTTAGGCATCTCGACATGGTGAAGATGACTTACGGAAGTTCAAACTGAAGGAGGGAGAAAGTGTGTTCACACCTGAAAGTCCAGTAGACTTGGTTCAATTTGGGACCAAAATTGGAACATTTGTTACATTTTCAGTTCACTTTCACTCTTCACTGTCAAATGATGCAAACCCTGTGGAAAACCTGCTTAACCCTAACCCTAACCATTGCAGAAAACAGCATTAAATCCTAAGGAGAAAACACTGAGTGCAATTTCCTATTTCACAAAATGTAACAAAAACTGGAGTGGCATCAGAGTTTAGCTGATGTAGAATTTCGCTGTTATTTTTGGGAAAAGGGCACACGCCATTTCTAGGCTAGCGCTAGATTCACAAGTTTGGTTTAGTTGTATTTACCCAGAATCCCTTGTGCTACAGTCTGTTTGTTGCTTTTGGCAGCGGTCTCCGGTCCGCTTGACGTTCACATACGCATTCAAACCATTTCAGCTGAATGTATATTTATGGGTGGGCCAGAGTTTTAATTTTTTGGTCCACATCAAAAGCACACTTTCACCTCCCCAAATGAACCAGACTTTCAAGGCAAACGGACAAGAGTTCAACTAAAGTGGATTAAACAGAGCTGTTGTGAATGCGCCCTAAGTGACTTTGGATGTGGCATAGTGAGCATTTCAGATACTGTTGATCTTCTGAGATTTTTATGCCTAAACATCTCTCAGGTTTATAGAAAATAAGCCAACAAAGGCAACAAAATGCAGCCGACAAGTCTGAAGGAACTGTGTGATGGAAAAATGTCAATCTTTTGTATACCTTCCTGAATTTATGGCATGAAAAATTAAAGCAAGTCTGAAAGAAAAATTTTCAGACTCGCTAACTAACTGTGTATTTTCAAGTATTACCTCAAAAGCAGCACATCCAAGACAAGGTCACACCACATCTCCTGTTAAAGGTAACACAGAATGAATTAGAAAATACAGACCAGCATCAAGTCTGAAAAAGTTAACAGTAAAATATATCTTTCCAGAAGGGATTTCTCTTTTGCAGCAAGTGTTTGAGCCACCTGTCTTGTTACAGAAGCTTCAAATCACCCCAGCAGGTTAAACAGGTGAGACGGAGGCAAAGCTCTGCATGGGCAGCTTGCAGAACATCCCTGTGCATGGGTTATACACATTCCTTCTGTGATTGCATGTGTTTTATGTGTGTATTTGAGCAGAATCCAGTCCATTTGATGGTCATCCAAGCATCTCAGTGTGTCAACTTGGACATAGAGCCCGGCTCTTTTTCTCTCTTCAAGTCACTCAGCTCTGTTGCTGGCTCGAAGATTAAACTGCGTTCTGCTCAGGAAGACTTTTTCTTTCTTTCTTTAAATCGAAGCTTTCGGTCGACTTAAAACAAATCATTTCCATGTCAACACCACCTGTTCCTGTCTTATCTGCTTGCCAGTTTCGGCTCCTTTAGTAACGGCCATGTGTTGTCGTAATGCAACTCCATTTACCACAAAGTGTTGAACAGCACTTTCAGACGAGCCCGCGCCTCGCACAACAAAGCGGCCCAATTATAGAGCCATTTATGTGTTTGTCAGGGGCTTCAAATGGGCACTGGTTTCTCAGGGTAGACATATTGGCGAGGTCAGGCGCAGCATCTAAAAAGGCAGCTTTATTACAAAACAACCCGTCCCTCTCTTAGATGAACACCCAAGAAGAAAAAGAAAAAAAAAAAGACCCACAAAAAATCGGAAGAAATAAAAAAATGACAACTTTGTTCTTTACAACGGTTTGGCTCAGGCTGTCTGTCTGGCTGCTCTGCGGAGCGCAGCAGCATGTGTTTCAGGGATTGTTCTGGAAGGGGGAGAGCAGAAACAGCGGGGAGCAGAAGACAAACAGGCAATTCGTGACTCATTAAACGCTGCTACTGTGGCCAGCACGGCGTAGGGGTGTGAGGACCACGTTCCAACCGGGCGATAAATCCCACCCCCCAGCACCAGCTGGAGCAAGCATCTGCCTGCCGCACGCCGCACAACGCCTCGCCGCCGATTACCAGCAACAAGCCACATCCCTGTGGCCGGCCGCCGCCGCCATTTTCAGAAGCCCTTACATAAGCCGCCTGATTGGCTCACATGGGACCTTCAGGTCCACCGACCTGACTGGATTGTTGAAGCAATCCCTTTGACGATGGAGGAGCAAGAATGCCTTTCTGCTGTGTAGGCGGTGCACAAAATAGCCACTTGTTATCATCTGTCTCACTTTCAGGCTACGAAGTGAAGTCCAGAGCACACTCTTAATGGCTTCCCAACCCATTAGCTGTTACTACCGATTAAGTGAAAGCCGCGCGAAACGCCAACAAGCATGCTGAGGAGGAGAACTGGGACAGTGACTTGCAAAAGAGGGTTTACCCCACTTGAATATTTTCACATTTTCTCACTCTATAACCACTAACCTCAGAGTGTTTTATTGGGATTTTATGTGATGGATAAAACAAGATCTAATGCATGATAGTCAGGTGTAAACAAAACGATGAATAGTTTTATATTTTCACATAAAAACGTCGACGCGCTAAAATAAATTCAAGTATGACCAATTGCCTTCAGAAGCCGCCTAATTAGAAAAACAAACAGGATCGACCGCGGTGTGATTTAATCTCAGCATAAATTCAGGCGCTCCATGAAGGCCTCAACAGCAGCATGAAGACAAAGAAACCCTGCAGACAAGTCAGGGAGGAAGTTGTCTACCGCACACAGTGATAAAAACAACATCCCAATCTCTGAGCAGCTCCAGGATCACAGTTCAATCCAGTCATCCAGAAACGAAGAGTGTGGTACAACTGCAATCTGACGAGCTGGGCGAGGAGAATGTAGGGATCCACCGCCATATGCCACATTGGCTAAATAACAATATGTTTTCTGACTAATTGTTATTCCCTTCATGCAGATGTCAATAGTTACTGGTGAACATTTTGTTTAGTTTAGTCGTTCGGTTTTAAACAAAACTCATCTATCAATTGACGTCCATAATTTGATGTCACAATATGAATCCTGTGAAAGGCACAGACAAGACACAAAGTGCTTAGTTTCCCTTTTTCTTTTGCTTTTTCTCCAATTTTATTATCCAAACAACAACAGGCTTTTAAAAGTATCCGTTCTGCTAGTGGAAGTTTTTCATTGAAGAACTCTCCATTAGACCGTCTGTCTCAGCAAGAAGAAACACAGATCAGACCAGAATATTAAAACAGTCGTGCTAAAGCACAAAGACATCATTAATCGACAATAACTTATGGACGCAAGGTAATTAAAAGCCTCCCTCAACTGGAAAAGCTCAATATCAGCACAACTTTGCAACGCTTTAAAAGTTTGGTCCCAGTAGAATTTAATGAGCTGCTAACTGCCTAATTAAATGCTGAGAGCAGATAAAAGCATGAAATATAGATAAGCTGGAAATGCTGCCTATGGCTTTGTGGTCCTTGTAGAGAAAGACTGTGATGTCTCCTGAAGCCAAAATCAGCACAACCACAGAGCAGCGCGTCACCCTTGTCCCAGCTGTGAATGTTTAAATAAATAAGAGACGCTAAGCAAGCTGAATCACCCTCCGATGGAACAACGTGTTTAAAAAAGTCCAACTATGAGCAAAAAGCTGGCGTGGATGTGCCGCTCCAGAAGCCCGCGCCACTTTCTGGGACTGAGGGATTGGGGAGGTAATGGTGCTCGCGGCGTGACAGAAGGGGCCTCTCCTCGGCAGCGGTAGCCGGGGTTGTAATTCTGACTTTTTTGAGGTCTTTACGAGTCCCTCTCCTCGTTTCGCTGGAATATGAAAACATCAGCATATGGCTGCTGACAGCACCGAGGCTAAGGAGTCAATTTCCCCTACGTAACATTGGGACAGCGGTGACATTCGCTTTCACTACTGCCCCCCTGGCTCAGGCAGGAAGACAGGCCGAGGCCGAGACAGAGAGGAGACAGATGGTGAGCTGTGCAAGGACACAGTACCTCAGATGGAAAGAAGGAGTGAGACTGACATGGTTTGCCTGTATTTTTTTTTTTTTTTTTTGCAACAGTAGGTCTTCACTGCCACTCTGTTCACTGAGTTTCATGTGGCTACCAGGAGCAGAAAATCTGTCCGTCAGCTGCCAAAGGTTCCAGCTCTGCTCCGTTCCTCTGAGCGCCCTTAAAAACCTGCTGTTTCACACCCATGAATTACACAGTTTATGGCAATGGCTGGAATGGGCACTTTCTGGGCACTGTGCATATGCGCGCCTCTATTTCTGCACGGATACGAGGGTTGCCTGTGGCAGATGGGAAGCAATATGGCACACCTCTGCCCGGACAGATGTGTCACGGCGCATCACAGCGAGCCAGAAGAGAGACGGAAAAAGCTCAAGAACATCTGGACCCGGGCGGCAGCCTTCGCCCCCCTACCAACAAGCAAGCTTTTCTGAGGTGCCGAGAACCAGAACAGAGAGAAGGGGACGCGGGCTCGTTAGACGACTCTTGTGCCACATCGTTAACTCCGGCGCTGTCATGACTGACAGACGAGGTGTCCCACCTCCCTCAGTGAGTGCCGTCAATCACTGCTCCGTGGAGCGCCTCACTGAGGCCGGCCCCTACATGGGCCTGTCATGGCCTGCTGCACAGCAGAACATTCCCACCACTCGGGGGGCAGCCAGGATGGGAAACAGGGAATTCTGCGAGGGCCAACCGGGGGAGTGTGCAATGACGAGACGAGATCAGCGACAGAAGGATCTCTGATTATATTTGGGGCGAAAATGAAGTGAGAGGTTCTTGAAACTGCTGTCGTTTCATATTTAAAATAGATAATTTAATATCTAATGAAGGAATCTTTATTTTCGACGACACCTTTTGTTTGCTTTCTATGAAAGCTCCCAAAATGAGGCATTGCTCATTTCAAACAGGAATAAATTCCACTTAATTATTAGAATGCCTTCTATATTATGTTTACTTCTCCAGTTTTGACACCCAATATATTTAGGATCAGAATCAGGAGCGTGAGTTCCAGCTTTAATGCCACATAATATATAGTGGATTTACAATCAGATTCACACAAACGTTGTTCACATGAAAAGAGTTATGTGAAACAATCCCTGTTTGCCCTTTCCAGAAAAGTTCTTTAGAAACTGTAAAATTTCTAGAAATGTCTTCCTTACGTTATTCCTAAGAAAATAAATTAGGACTTTAATGGTATACAATGATATACAATATGTGATGACATTATGATGTCATCACATATCATTAAAATGGCCCATGATTTGTCCTATTCAGGATATAAAATGTTCTATGTAAAATCCTCCCATATGTACCATATAGGAGGATTTAACATTTAACATGGGAGAATTTAATATGGGACAATTGGGCTGTTCTGGGCTGATGACGTTCAAGAAGCATCCGGGCTCTTTGCTCGTCATCTTCGTTTGTCTTCCCACTTTTCTGTCTGAGCCCTTTCAAATAAAGGCCACTGGAGCCATTAAAACTTAGAAAAACGGATTTATCAAATCGTGCATATGTTGCAAATCAAGCAAAAAGAACTGAGTAACTTTTGCTCCTTTGTTCGTTTAGTAATTGTACCGTAGAAAAGCAGAGCGGAGTTTGTCCATGGACAAACTCCTCTCGGAAAGCGCCAGTCAAAGCATGCAAATTTCATGACGTTTCAATGATCAAATGTCCAATCATAAAAAAACCTATCCATTCATTATTTCCTTTCACTCACACATTCACGCACTAAGGACAGTTCAGAAGGAGGAATACTTACCTTACCGCAATGTTTTAGAGTGTGGGGGAAACCGGAGCACCCGGAGGAAACCCACGCAAGCACAGGGAGTAACATGCAAACTCCATACATTCTGAAGGTCCTGAGCTGGTCTCGAACCCGGAACCTTCCGACTGCAAGGCATCAGGCTACGTGCTGTGCCACCGTGCTGCCCAGTATATTGCAGAGCTTCTGTTAATATATCTTTATAGCTTTTGACGTCACCGCCGTTCTTGGCTGACGTAGTAGAAGAAGCATCCATCCGGGGTCTTTCCTCGTCATCATCCGGGTCTTTTCACATTACTTCGGTTGACAACAACAGCACGTGTGTTGCCCATGAATGCAGTCGCCCTCACTTAGCGAATTAAAAGCAGCTTTCTATCACTTCCATCTGGTTACAGCGTCACTTTGTTTCACTGACACCAACACCACCGTGGAACTAAATACAACATGAACTAAAGTGACATGGTGTCACGAACACAATATGGACATAAAACATATAAACATACCTCGCTGGCTGACCCTTCCTCTGGAGTTACAAATTAGGTTATTAAATCAATTTTTAAACCTCAATGACCTTTCTACAGTCACTTGCTAAAGGTACGCTAACATATCGCAAGCGTCTCTGGTTACCTAGCAACATGCTGGATTCCACTTCCTATTTTGACCTTTCAGAATAAGAGTCGTGCTAAAATATATAAAGAATACAAAATAAAACATGTAAACTAAAACTATGGCAGTGAAAGCAGCATTTATGTGATGGATAAATGCAGAATGGTTGAAATCTACTTTTCACTAAACTCCTTAACAGTCACCTGGCAAAAAAACTGATAAAGAGGCTCTGTGGAAGGAGTTTCCCTCGTTAACTGAGAATTTATGAGGAATAATTTTACTACTAAGTTGGTCCTTCAAAAAGAAAGAAAAAAAATAAAAAAAATTAATGGATTAAAAAAGATCTTAGGTGGGCTGGACAAACAACTGGACAATTATGATAAGATAAAAGTGTAGAAGACGTCAGTACGCATGCGTGTTTGGATAGAGAAAAACGGACCAATTCATGGATGGACAAATAAATGAATGGATGGAGAGACAACGAAACTGGATATATTCTATGATGGATGTACATTTTAGACCACAGTAAATAAAGTCTTGAAATACAGATATTACTTTACCGTTCATTAAGTGCAAAAAAAAAAACATCAATAGTCATTTAATACAAAGTTTCTCTGCAGAACATATGCAAAAAAGCAGATCCAAGTCCTTAAAGACTGTCATATATTTCCAAACTAAGATATTCTTAACAAGACTTAAATTTTTATAAAACCAGAACGCAAGGATTCCAGAATATCTGGAACATATTTTCATGAATTGAGGAAGAGATAAAACTATATTTGCAGTGTGACAGGTAAAGCCTTAAACGATTCTAACAGTAACTAACTATTCACAAATTTTCAGATTTGTTTTTTAACCGCTTTAACCACCTGCTACCACCTGCTGACTGTTCGCTCAGCTCCCCTTAAAGTTTCTACCAGGCGGGTTGGAAATCCTCCCAAATGTCTAAAGTTAAATTCCATGTTAAATATTCCCAAAGGCCCTGTATTAAATGAGACAGAAATCATAAATTCAAAATTTATAATTTTGAATCACAATTAATCAAAATTAATTGAAATCATAAATTCGCTGCTGATAAATTTATGATTTCACTGAAATTTTAAGCAAGAATTACAACCAAAACGTGAAATAAAAGCATAACAGGGTTCACAAAACATATATTTACAGGTATCCATTTTTCACCTGGTTACATAGTATTCTTGAAAAAGTTAGGATATAAAATACTATAAAAAATGTATTTTCTTTATTTAAGCCAACTAGTTAAACTACCTCACAGTGATGAGGTTTCAAAACTTATCAAAAGACCTCCATTCATTTGTTCAACTTTGTATTTATGCAATTGGCAGATACTTTTGCATGAGTCAATTTACACATGAGGATGTAGCAATGTAGTAAGAAACCAATGAAAATTCACCAAATATTCTAGACTCAAATATGCAATGTCTGTAAAGGATTAAATTGCTGATGAGAGCAGATCAGAGATAATTTTAGGATTCAGAAATAGAAATAACACACGACTTGCAGTGAACCCCAAGTATTTGTAGAGTTGTGGACCACAACCGCAATCATCAACAAGGAATTATCACTTTCAAACAGTCAGTACACAGCTGAGGTATTTTCAGCAGATATTACAGCACAGAAAAGTCATAAATACACGGTTGACTTAAAAAACCAGATCAGTTTGAATTTTCACATCACTTTAAATACATTTGAGCCTTTGTGACATTTCCTGAATCTGAATTTGGAAAATGTCAAAACTTGTAGGTTTTCTTTGTTTTTGTCAGAAACTTCCCCTCCTGTCAAGCCCGTGAGGTGCTGTTCAACTGATGATGTTCAGTTCAAACTGCACCATAATAATAATAATAATAATAATAATGATAATAATGATAATGATAATAATAATACGCTGAAGCAGGCAGCAAAGCTCAATTAAACAATCCCGGAACAATTTCACAGCAGAGCAGTCAACAGGTAATTAATTGACTTTCTTCAGTGAATATTAAGCCTGAAAATTAGCAATGATTTGGTTTTGGTGGAAACAGACAGCACTGTGGCGGAAACCAGATAGAAAACTCAAATCTATCTATTACTGTTTGATTTTGTCCTATCGCTCTCAAAGGATTTCCAAAAGCGGTGTTACTTGAACATTAATGATGCAGCCCAATGCAGATCCTCTCATACAAAGTGGATCATTAACTGTGAGTCAAATCTTTCAAAAAGCTGTCAGAAAGAGTGAAGCCTCTACTGCCTACTGCATAGAAAAGTAAGAGCAGAATGTATCATAAAATATATTTCTTCTCAGAATCACAGCACTGACATTTCAATTGAAAATTGAAATGGGTAACTATCGCATTTGAAAGGTTAATATGGATTCTAAATATCTGATCAAAGTTTGAGGGGAAGCTGAATAAAGAGGTAATTCAAAGGGAGGAAAGACTTTCTTTTATCCATGCCAGATTCTGACACCCATCATCCTCGTTTAAATGCACGAGGATGCTGTTTTAAATCATTAAAACAACTATTTAATTTGTTCCATGTATTTACCTGCATCATAAACGAACAGTTTCATCACAACTTTATTGATGCTGCATTTTCAGAGCGCTCTCTGTGAAACAAAGATCATTTCAGCTCCATGTAATGTCAAGAATGAAGCCCCCGCCTGATCTGGTCATCACAGAACCACTGCCTTCGGCCATGTGCACGTTCATTGAAAAAATCTGGAGTCAATATTAATGAAGGATCATATGAAAAACTTACAAAAAAAAAACTGTGCTGCAAAATACAAATAACCAGCACAATATTATTTATTTATTTCATCCAGTAAAATAAATAAAAGCATGTTTTATCCTTTTATTTATGCATCAGAAAAAATGTACATGAATCTCTCAGGTAGTGTCTGATGCATTTGCAAAAAAATGATCTGCAACAATAAAAAATGATTTGTGATAAGAGAAGCTGCAAATATCTTATCCAGACACTATAAAGAATCATTGAGCAATTCATGATCTCACTGAGATTTTTTAATAGCCTGAAAAACATTTCATGCGATCAATGTGGCAATGAATACGAACACACTGGTGCGATGAGGCCTTAGTTTAGTCAAGTCAAACTTGTTTTGACTTGACTGTTTTCCACTGAAACAGCTTAAAACTCGCATTTTACATGGAAAAAGTCTCAGTATGTTTGAATGTCGAACATCTGGCATACAAAGCTTTGTATGTTTTCATGCAAACTAGATTTGTCAGAGGGAAAAACTGAACTTTGAAATACAAATAATTGGAAAATGCATCAATAAAACTAAGCTAATGATTCATTTTAATGAAGTAAGAAAGGAGGTCAACGAGTCATTTAAGGCTGCTGTTCAGTGGAACTGGGGAGCGACGGTGTCCTTTTACGCTGCTTTCAGCTGAACCACAAAACATTTATTTTTAATTATTTTAAAGACCACAGACTGGCTCCCTTTGCAGCCTTTTTCACTTACAATTAGGCAACAACATTTTCATCTGACGAAAAGGGAAATGGAGATGTGAATGAAGACGTGGGGCATCCGAGCAGCATCTTCATTCAACCCAGTCAGAGCCACTTAAACGTCATTACTAAACTTTAAGCAACCTGAATGTTAGATGTTATGTAAGGCTTTCAATTGAAGTGTCGGTCCTTTCGGTTGTCCTGAGCTTTTGAAGACGTCCCTGTGTGATCTGTGCACATTAAACAGTGGGAAAACTGACTGGGAGTCTTCTCTCCTTCCTTTCTCCAGCCCTCCTTCAGGTTCCCTCGGCTCTTTGAATAATTAGTGATGTGTGTCAATATTGTGGCCCATAGTAACCATATGGTGGGTGCAGGCAGACAGGCCATTGTCGCGAGCTGTGAAATATTGTGTATCCCTGCGAGGGCTGGAGCCAGCAGAGGCAGGAAGTGTTGTCGGGACTGACAGGGACATTGTGCGCCTGAATGGGCGAGTCCTCCGTGGCAGGGAGCGCCACGGACCCAGACAGAAAGTCTTGACCCTGGCGAGAAAGGCTGATTAGGCATGGTGCTGCAGGCCGCTCCTTCATCCACCCCCGCCTCTCCTCCACCGCTTCCCCCCGCTGGACGCTGCTGGGCTGAGGCAACAAGGCCACTTAACTCAGCGCCGCCTTTTCAGCGCGCACATTAAAACACTCATATATTCATGTCAAGGGTGGAGAGGAGAGACCAAGACGGGGACTGGGACCGTCCAAGAGAGTCCACTCTGAAGTGATCTGTGGGAATGCTTTTTGTTGTTGTTGGGTGTATTTTTCACAGCCTCCCAACCTTTAAAGAGAAATGTAATGAGTGTGCTAAGGAGACAGCAGATTGGGAATGATGCTTTTTTTTTTTTTGTTTACAACTGCTGCATGTCGCCAAAGTGTAATCACACAAACACATTAGTCCAGATGTAAGAGAAGGAGGCCAGCATTCATTTTTTGTCATTAACAAGCTGTGTGCTGCAGTCCCCGAATTAAAAAGCCTTAAAATGGCACCAGAAAAAAAAAAAAAACAAAGAATCTGATGAATATCACACAGTTAACTCTGCAAACATTTAATTTTTAATTTCAGGATACACTTCTGTTTCTAATTTGAACACTATGAAATAAACTTTTTATTTGGTTTGAATTTAAAAAAGCAATCCATTGAAAGTGGATGTCATTTTAGATAAAACTGGATAATAAATTGTGTTTGGAAGTCAAAACTAACTATCTATTTCATGCATATTGAAGGAACTAAACTTCTTTCTTGGCAAACAATCTGGACAGCTTGAGGCAAAGGAGCAACTTCATCTGCTTGAGTTTTTACTTCTACCGATTTGGCTGACATCTTTTTTTTGCCCCCCCCCTCCTCCTCCTGCCCCCTTCTCGTCTCTTTCGCTCCTTTCATTCCATCAGCCTTTCCACTCTCTGCCAATTATCTCTCTGTAACTCTGTCACACTTTGTAGTGTCATAAAGGCAGCTCAAACTGCTGCCCGGCCCACCTTTATTCCCCCGAT